CTCAAACCCCTCCACCACGATAAGGTAGCAGCCCAAGGAGAGGATGTGCTTGGATGTGCTAGAATATTTTGCAGTTAGATTGTTTGTCTACACTTGTTCTGTTTGCACACTTTGTTAAACCTATACATTAAATCCAGAAAGTTAGTCACGTACTGGAATCTTTATTTGGAACATATTAAAAACCTTATAAAAACCTTTTCATATTCCCTCCTGTTGTTACAAATAAAGAAGGTAAAACAACAAACAACAAAAAGGTGTAAAATAAGTAACACCTCAAACAAATGAAAATGATAAAATGAGTGAATCGATGTGACTCTAAATAATACTAGTGAGCCTAAATAAAATGTACAAAAGGACCTTAAAAAAATCATGTCCCTAAAGATATATGAAAGGAGTTACTTTACCACTGAGGATCAGATGCCGTGTCTGTGTCTGTGTCTGCATGTGGTTCATCTGTCATGGAGAGGAGTGCATAAACTTGGTCTTGGACTGGTTGAATAGCTGTGGTAATGACCCGATTACTCCAAACCACGAATGAACAACATCCACACAAGGTTAGGAGTGCTGCATACACAGCCACTGAAATCATAATTMATGAAATCAGTGTTCTATATTTACCCAAACATGCTCATCCATGAGTTCCACATAGTGGTGTCAACGCCTGCACGCTCTTTCATCTTTTTGTTCAGGGTCCTCAGACCATCCAAGGCCCTGGTCAAGCTTCTGTCAGGAGCAGTGTTGTTGGGTATGAAGGTGCAACACTGCTCTCCAAAAAGGGAGCAAACACCTCCTCTTTCAGCCAACAACATATCCAGCGCAATCCTGTTCTGAAAAGCCATCAAAGATGTAGCGGCTAGCTGCTCATGGATAGCTTTAAAGCCTAATTCTGTTGCATTTCTCAAACGCTGCACATTGAAATGGATGTCCAGATTCTTGTTTGGAGTAATCGGGATTATCGCAGCTATAAGGGGCTAAATGACGTGGATCAAAATCTAGACAGTAAAATTAATAAGACATGTACTCACGAGATACCAACAAATCAATAATCAATCTTTAGAATATGTACCAGGTGATTATTACTAAAATGCACAGGGCAAGAGTAATGGCCCATGCAACTATAAAAACATTGATCTGGTCACAAGACATTCCTGTAAATAAAAGATGTTAATCACAGCATATAGTAGTTAAATACTCCTAACAAAATAAGAAAACACAAGATGAGAACCCCAACAACACAGTGACCACAATTATCATGAAACATTGTACAAAAGTTAAAATGTGAAATGATGAAAAATATCAAATATATAATGATAAAAATAATAATGATCAGTCCTGTTCTCAGCTCATTACACAGATAAGCTGGTCCCTCTGCAGGAACCAGTATTACTGCTTAAGCTACAAACCCACTTGTCGGCTGAGGCCTAATAAGCTGGGATCGGCTGATTTCTTCACGGGCGTTGAGACGGCCAGTCCTAGGGTTTCTGGCCCCCTTTGTAGCCTGGCTTCCCCTCAGCTCCGCCCCCTCCGTCAAGCACTATTTGTAGCTTACAATGGCTGAGATGGATCCAGGACGCTCGTTTAGCGATCAGCAGTGGGTGTGGTCAGCAACACTTGGTATGGTCCTTCCCAACGTGGACTGTTCCAGGCTTTTCTTTTGATGACCTTGATGAACACCCAGTCACCAGGGGCCACCTCAGTGACCTGTGGAGGAGAAGAGTCACACGGCAGTAAATTTGAACTAATTATTTCTTTTTGTTGCAGCATTTTGATTAGGAAGTCTGCAAGGGTCTGTTCCTCATTTGCTTCTTGTAAGTTTGAGCTGAACACAGGAAGTCTGTAAGGTCTACCATAAATGATAAAAAATATTTAAAACTATTTCAGGCTTAATAAGTGTTTCAATGGAAAAATAAATCTATCAAACCAGCTAAAAAAAATTTCTAAACTGAAAACAAAGTCTAAATATAAATGTCTCATACATATTTGCTTGCTTTTGTTTACGTATAAGCTAACAAAGTTAAATCAAAGTTATGTTATTGTACTTATCACACCCCTCCTCTTGACAGATGGCAAAGCCCATATGTCACTCAGCAGTGCACTTTTAACTATTAAAAAAACTTGTTTGAAGTCAACTTAGGCTGACAAGAATATATTAAATATGAATAAACTGCATCTTCTTAAACATAAAGCATGCTAAACAACTTTTTTCTCATTCATAAATCAGTTCCATGTAAGATGCTGCAGTTAAGAAAAACTTGGTCTCTATGATTTAAATTTAGAATCGATGTAAATAATAACTGTTTTGTATATCAAAAAAAAACCTGCAGCAATAGCTAATTGTCACCTCACAAATAAAACAGCTATTTTAAAATATTAGACCAAATAAATGTCTTGCCTCTTGTTAACGTTTAAATGCAGCACTCAATGTTAAAAAAAATAAGGCAAAAAAAAAATAAATAATTAATTAAAAACTATTTTAAAGGCCAAT